CTTGGGTCGAATTGCGAGTCAAACTCCAAGCAAATTCAACCATTGAATTGAAAGATGGATGAAAGTGCAAGGTACCACCTGTATCTCAAAGTTTATTACTGAAAGCCGAAATTTGTGGAATTTATTCGTTCCGTTTTGATGAAAAAATTGCAAAGGATCATCTGAGCTAGGATGAAAAGGGTTGAGCTAAATTTCCTGGTCTATGAATCCCATTATTTAACCCATCCTCAACACATGGACAATTTGAATTTCAGATATTTTAAACTGAAAAAACCTACCCAACATTTGGGTAATCTCTCGAGGTACAAAATGTTTCCCAAAATTTTAAGAAATAATAAAACTATCAATCAACACTTTTAGATCTCCTGAGCAAAGTACTGAGCTCTATTTCTCTGGAAAAAAATTCAACATATCTGTTTATCTTAATGTTCGGGGACTCTCTAAAACATTTTTTTCTGTTTGAAGCATCACAGGTGGACTCTTTCTAAAAAAAAATTCAGAAAGGCAAAAAAAGAATTTGTTGAAGGTAGAATTTTGTTGTAGAGAGAGTCCACCTGTTTATAACATTCTCTTCCAATTTTGTAGAGGTTTTCTGCAATGAAATTCCTTGCATAAAAAAATGTTCAGGTCCCTTGAAATTATTTGTCAAGAGGGTCTTAACTATTCAAATAAAATAATTGATTTTTGATCTTCTTTTTAACTTTTTTTCTATCATTTTTGTACAGTACAGAAATACCGTACGTGTGCTTGTTCTTTGCCGTCGATTTTGATAACAAAAGGGATAATTCGATGTCGTAATCTCATCTACATCTGCACATTGAACTTCAAAGAAATTCAAGCTAATTTGCTTGAGGACTTTTCCAAATTTTGCCCAAAAGCCAAAATGATTTTAAAATTCCGCAGTGGGGAAAATTTTACTTGACATGCACGAATTCCAACATTTGGACAGTTTGAGAAGTACTGTGATATTACACACACATCTTATTTGAACCCCAGCACTTGATTTACGCTGTACTCCTTTTTATACGTACCAATAGAGATTTATTTCCCCCATCCAAATGTCTATATACACGTGCTTCTTTCAAATTTGAAGTATTTCCATCAGCAGAAAATAGCTTCGCAAAATTTTACCAATTTTATTTTTGTAATGTTTATTTGCAGGTGGCATTGATATTCAGAGACGCGACAATCGGGAACTCCATCAACATCGCCCTGGTGAAATTGGTGGTGCTGAAGGAGTCCGAATTCTCCTTGCGTGGCAACGATCTGGAAGAAGGTGGGAAGTCGGCGTCGGAAATGCTGCGATCCTTTTGCCTGTGGCAACACCAACACAATGTCGTGGACGACAGTTCTCCTCAGCACCACGACACTGCCATTCTTCTCACCAGGTGACCTTTGCTGCATTTCCGTACACGCTTCGAATATAGCCTCTCGAAAATAAAAATTGGAAATGAACAGAAATGAAAGAGAATCGCCGAGGTTGCGATGATTCTTATTGTTTTCTTTTTTTGTATTTTTCGTATAGCTTTTCGAAAACATAGAAATAAATAAAACTTTAAAAGAATCACCTAATAAGTTGGGATGCTTCATATGTTTCTTTGTTTTTCGTTTTTGCTTCCTCTATTTTATTTTTTGAATAGCCTTTTAAAATGTAGAAATAACACAAAAACGAAAAATAATCACCGAGATGGCAATGCTTCATACTTTATTTCCTGCGTTTTCTTTACTGGCCATCCTAGGGCCACGCAATTTTTGGAAACCATGTATTAGAATTCTTGGTCAGTTTTTACTTTTTCAGTGTAACGGAACATCTCAAAAATTTAAATGAATATTTTCTGGTGATTCAAAGCTACAGCATTCATGATTGATTCACAAAAGAAAATATAGTTAGTTCATAAGGCAGCCATTTGGTGAAACTTGCTGCTTTCTAACTTGCTGCACACTCAACTTGCTGCAAGCTGTTGAACTTGCAGCTGTTATTACACCCTAACTAATTCTCTTCACTGTGAATACTGACCCATATGTAGGTACCAGGATCTCCCATCCTCAGAACCCATCTGAACCTTGTGGGAGCAACAGCTTGCACGGGAATACCCCTTTTGGAGGGTATTCAGACCTCTAACACTAAAGTACAAATGTGTACCAGTAGGCTGAAATACCTTTTGTGAAATTTACAACTTGCTGCATGAATTGCAGAGAGTTCACTTGCCCCATATGTGTCTTCCCTTAGTTGTCAGAATTTGTTTTTCTCTGTGAAAATTAATATATTTATTTTCTTAATTCAGGAGAAAAATTAATTCCCAAATTCTTCCACTTTCTTTACTCTGCATATATTGATTTATCAATATACATTTCGTCTGTTAAGGGAGGTTTTCAACAAATTTGAAATACCTTGTATGGAAATGAGTACAATGCAGGAGGAAGAGCAGTTACTTTTGCGAGCTTGTTCCTTTTGCAGCAAGTTCCACTGTGGCAAATTTCACCTAAGCACCAGAAGGGAGATATTCCACCAACAAAGAATGAAGATGTGCTGTTGAACATATAACAGGCAACAGTTGAAGTTCAAGACAAATGGCACTAAAATCCTTCGAGCATGCGCCAAAAAATCAGCCAGTTCTTGGAAAAGTTCTTGAGACTGCTTTTCTCACAGAAATATTCCCGTCAAGTGCTAACATCAGAATTTTGTTGAAGCTCAATTTCTTGGACGAAGTGAGCTTCATCAATGAAGGGTATCTTGAAAACTTTTTTTTTGTGAAAGAGGTATCAAATTATTTCTGTAAAGACTGACTCCAATAAATCTGAAGTGCACTTGAACTTCTTGAACCCTCATGTGTTGAACCTGTAAAAATGTTTGCATGAATTAGCGATTGACGGAATTCATTATTCATGGTGATCTAATTCCATGGCCAATCATCCATTCCATTCTCATCTTCAAAGCGAGAACATCACTGAAATTATTCTCATCAACTAAACGTCTGAAGATTTTTTTTCGTGAAGGACAGTATTATATATGCTTGAAGCATCTAATAGGGTTCACGCGTCAGGTTTTTTCGGTTGCGCAAGGGTTAGAAAATTCGTCAAACGTAGTTCCAAGCGGCGTCCCGAAATTAAAAAAAGGTTACTCCCGTTAATCTCTAAGTCGTGCACTGACCGTAAAACATGAACTACGAATAACACTGCTCGGAAGGAGTACAAAAGTTTTGAAGTTGAAGGAAATCCCGCGGGGAATGATTAATGAACAACGAATGCTAAGAAAGGGGTGAAATTGAGAATTTCCATATGAGAAAGTGAAAAACTTTGCAATAAATCCTGGATTTCCTGTGAGGAGAGATTCCATAAGATTTTTTTCTGGCTTATTGTTTTGGTAGAAACAAGAAATGAATGCTTTCGTGAGATTTCTTGTGGTCTCTTCTGAAAACTTTGCCCTTTGCTTCATCGGGTTTAAATTTTGTAATCAGCTCTTCGAAAGGTTCATTCATTGTTGAAAAAAATCTTCTCTTAAAACTCATATAAAAATATGTTCTAGAAAACAGCGCGGAACAAAGTTCATAACTTGATGGTTAAAAGAAGTTTTTGAGCAATATTCTGCATCTTTCGGCGCGCGTATTCCTTGCATTAGTTTTACAGATTTCCAAAGTAGCCAAGCCAAATTTCTGAAACTCTTTATGCTTGAATGATTTTTAAACTCACATTTTGGAGAATTTTCCAATGGATTATGCCATACTATTCGGTTTCAGTTACATTTCCTTAATTTTTTAACGCACCCTTGAGTAATATTTTCTCTTTTTTTCCGCAGGGAAAATATCTGCAGGAACCCGTTTTTGCGGAAATGTGATACTCTCGGATTGGCAGAGCTGGGAAATATGTGCGATCACCAATCTTCTTGCTCTATTGTGCAAGACAACGGCCTCAGTGCTGCCTTCACTATTGCCCATGAACTTGGACACGTGTAAGCATCACTTATTTTTTTATTCTCTAGTTTCGGAAGTCAAATCCAAACTACACTTTCGCAGAGATTAAAATAATTTACTGAGCATTTGTGCATGATATACGTACTGCACATTAATTTGGCTTTCGCTATTTAAAACGTTTCGCAAAATTTTATTAATTTGCTTCATCACGTCGTAGTTTTCCACGTATGTCGTAAAAACACGATTCTGTTGGAAGATCGCTGTAATAGTGATTTAAAAAATACGAAAGTATAAATGGCTGGTCATTACATAATTTTCGTCAGAATATTGAAATCAAGTTCTTCATGAACCCGCATTTCAAATACAGGATTAGTGTATTTCTACCCATACTGAAATTCTAAACTAATCAAGCCATGTTTTAATTATTAATTTTTTTTTTTCAAGAGAAGCAGTGAGTTTTCAAGTTTTTACTCAACAATGTCAATATTCAGGGTATCCCACACATGCAGCTTCACTACAACAAAACATTACGCGATCAGAATGGAAATATTTTTACTGAAATGTGTTTGTCATATCTTGGACATTTTTTTTTTTTGATAATCTTAAATTGATCAGAGTATTTCTTTCTACTATGATCAGGTAGCGTTCAAATTCTTGAAACATGATAAGTTACATCTTATTTCGTGAAAGATTTGGAATGTACTTCCAGCTTATCGCATTCTCTAAATGTTGACCTGGGTGAGAAATTTTTCGGAATATTACCCCGTAAAATTATATTTTATCTTGATCTACCAAAATTAGATTCGACGAGCAAGACAAAAGAAGAGATTGACTGAACGTATGAGCCAGCATTTGTGCTTCAGCTCTTATTTGAATTCTGAGCAGTTGGGAAGATTTTTAAAATAATATAATTGAGTGAAAATCGGAAGAAATTTTTAAATTTTTTTTTCACAGTTTAAATATGCCACACGATGACGACTACAAATGTCAGCAGTGGAAGAAGGAAAATCAAAAGCACAATGTGATGTCTCGCATGCTGGACCACAACACTTACCCTTGGGCATGGAGCGAATGCTCTACAGTTTAAATATGCCACACGATGACGACTACAAATGTCAGCAGTGGAAGAAGGAAAATCAAAAGCACAATGTGATGTCTCGCATGCTGGACCACAACACTTACCCTTGGGCATGGAGCGAATGCTCCAAACACCACCTCACTGAATACCTTGAGTAAGTCAAAAATTTCCATTCATCTCTACACGCATACTTTATTTTTAAATACATTTTATACCATCAATGCCCACGTTAAATTGTCATCCAACATACTGTACAGAAGATATTTTACAAGTATAATGAGCCCCTCTCTCAGCAGTGAGTGTCACCAAAATGAAACTAAGTCAGTAAATGAGCTTTAGTGACATTAGAAAGCAGTGTTGCCCAACATTTATGGGTTCGGAGACTGGCGAAATTAAAAAGTAAAAAATTGTGGACTAGTAAATTTCCGAACACGTCTTCTGTGGACCTGGAAAGTTTCATAATCGTTGCATTTTTCAAAAGACTTATGACAGGCATACAAAAGTTTCTGCTTTTTGCAAAAATGAACTTGAAAAGCAATGAAGCAGATACAGTATACAGCAGTTGAATGTCTTCAAAAAATTTGAAATGTAGGCTTCAAGAAACGTTCCTCAGATTAAAAAAATATAATAATTTATTTTAGCAATTGATCATTTGGGTTGTGGCTCATTATTAGGAGAAAAGCTAACTTTTATTTATTGTCAAATAATTTCAACTGCCATTGTCTCTCCAAAATTTCAGATACAGATAAGACCTCCTTGCTACTTTTGATAAATTTATTATGCTGAATAAAATTTCCCGCAAACTGGCAAAAAAAATTCTGTGGACAGGTGCCAGTTTTTTTTACAAAGTTGGGAACATTGTTCTAAAGCAATGCTTCCAATAAAAAGATATGAAAATACGCCTTTCTCCTGAACCTATCATCCCTCAGATTGACTGATCAACATTCCAGAATTTTTTTTATTTTATAGCTTGAATAACTCAATCCTCTGTTCCTCCCATTTGGGATGAAATTATTTTCTCTCTCCTCTCATTCACAGTGTTCCACATTCTGAGACACACTATATTTTCAGCCTTCAGACANATTTCGTGAAAGATTTGGAATGTACTTCCAGCTTATCGCATTCTCTAAATGTTGACGTGGGTGAGACATTTTTCGGAATATTACTGAGTAAAATTACAGTTTATCTTGATCTACCAAAATTAGATTCGACGAGCAAGACAAAAGAAGAGATTGACTGAACGTATGAGTCAACCTTTGTGCTTCAGCTCACATTTGAATCATGAGCATTTGGGAAGATTTTTAAAATAATATAATTGAGTGACAATCGGAAGAAATTTTTAAATATTTTTTTTCACAGTTTAAATATGCCACACGATGACGACTACAAATGTCAGCAGTGGAAGAAGGAAAATCAAAAGCACAATGTGATGTCTCGCATGCTGGACCACAACACTTACCCTTGGGCATGGAGCGAATGCTCAAAACACCACCTCACTGAATACCTTGAGTAAGTCAAAAATTTCCATTCATTTCTACACGCATACTTTATTTTTAAATACATTTTATACCATCAATGCTCACGTTAAATTTTCATCCAACATACTGTACAGAAGATATTTTACAAGTATAATGAGCCCCTCTCTCAGCAGTGAGTGTCACCAAAATGAAACTAAGTCAGTAAATGAGCTTTAGTGACATTATAAAGCAGTGTTGCCCAACCTTTATGGGTTCGGAGACTGGCGAAATTAAAAAGTAAAAATTTTGGACTAGTAAATTTCCAAACACATCTTCTGTGGACCTGGAAAGTTTCATAATAGTTGCATTTTTCAAAAGTCTCATGACAGGCATACAAAAGTTTCTGCTTTTTGCAAAAATGAACTTGAAAAGCAATGAAGCAGATACAGTATACAGCAGTTGAATGTCTTCAAAAAATTTGAAATGTAGGCTTCAAGAAACGTTCCTCAGAATGAAAAAATAAAATAATTTATTTTAGCAAGTGATCATTTGGGTTGTGGCTCATTATTAGGAGAAAAGCTAACTTTTATTTATTGTCAAATAATTTCAACTGCCATTGTCTCTCCAAAATTTCAGATACAGATAAAACCTCCTTGCTAATTTTGATAAATTTCTTATGCTGAATAAAATTTCCCGCAAACTGGCAAAAAAAATTCTGTGGACAGGTGCCAGTTTTTTACAAAGTTGGGAACATTGTTCTAAAGCAATGCTTCCAATAACAAGATATGAAAATACGCCTTTCTCCTGAACCTATCATCCCTCAGATTGACTGATCAACATTCCAGAAAAAAAATAAAATATCGAACTTATTGAGTTAGGAGACAAGGAGGGTAAACCCTACTTTAATAAAAGAGAGAGGAGAGTAAGTGTCACAAGGTGTAAGACTCTGTGTGATATAAAAGTCGGAAGTCTGTATTCAACGCAGAGACTTTGATACACTCTTGTTATACAACCAATATCTTTATAAAGACTTACTGGTTACAACTCTTACAAGGAAATTGTTTTTCAGGTCTCGGTCCAATTATAGCAATAAAATCACTTCAAAACAAATTCATCGGTATAATTACGCTTTTTTCTGCTCCCAGCATATTTGTTGTAACAAAATTTTCCTGTGCTCTCATCATCAAAAGGATAAGTTTTTCAACATAATTATCTTTTAATCGATTTTCAACCAAAAAATAATAACTAGGCTAGTGTCTAATGGGGAAATGGGGGGGGGGGGTAATTTTTTGGGCAAACTTCACGCCGAAAAAGTAATTAGACGCGTGGCTTAATTAAGGGTGCACAGCAGTACTCGAGTATTGAATCCTCGATTATTGATTTTACGGTTTAATAAAATTATTGGGAAGGGAAACTCTCGAGCGGCAAAATTCTACAGATGCGGGTTTTCATATTGACATCTTCCAACAAAAGGAAATAAATGAATGAATGAATGAATGAATGAAAAGAAGTTGAACTGAACTGCATATCATACCTCGATCTCCATCACACAAGCAAGCAAGCAAGCAGAGCCCGAAGCTTTCCATTACCTGGACCGTACGTGGGTTGTTGTAGCAATAGAGTGTGTTCCCTTGTCGGGAGCCTAAAATGCACTTCGTTACGCCTGCCGCGCTGCATGGGACAAATATTGGAAATGCAGGTCTGGGGGACGAGAGAAAGTTGAATACCTTTTTGTTTGTTTGTTTAATTTTGAGACTCATTTCTCTGTGACAAATTTAAGTGAAGGTGAAGGTGAACACAAAGCTTTATTTTCTGCTTTTCAGCATTCACACGGTTCAATCAACATTCCCACATTCAAACCCCCTCCCCACCCAACCCAAATCCATTCAAAGGCATTCAATCACTTCAGAATGGGAAACAAAGAAATAAGCTGTATATGAATACCAAAATAAAAGAAAATACATTCCACAATGTACAACTGCACAATTGATGTGTATGCAGACACCCCTTTCTTATTTCCCAAACATTGAAAACAAAATATCAGTAACAAGAATTGCAGCATAAGCAAGAATTATAGCAATTGTAGCAGTTACTGAACCCCATTTGAAGCACAATGTCTTCAGCCTGCTCCCAGATAAGGTTTAGTTGAATGAACAATTCATAGAGAATCTTTTATAAGAAATCCTATAAGGTCAGCAGCAGTTGATTGTGATCCTCTATGATTTCAGAAAGGGTCTAAACTTTCTAAAGTCAGCAAGTTTAGTGATCATAAATTTTAGTGATAAATTTTTCAAACATGGGTTTAATCAGAAGAGGTTATAAAAGCAGAGAGAGAGAGAGAGAGCGCGAGAGAGAGAGAGAGGCAACATATGAGGAACATGCTTTGAGTTCTGCGTTTTTTATTTCGGTGTAATTTTTTTAAATCAGGACCATTTTCATTTTTTTACGAGGTACTGCAATAAGTTCAAAACCGTTCTGAAGTTTAGCAGGTTCAAAATAGAGAGTCAGGCCAGAGTTTCCTCGATCAAGAGATTTAAATTCTGCGATAATTTATTTTCAACCATTTGTCGTCGTTTACGTCCGTTTAATATAATTTTTGTTGCAGGAGGTACTTTTAAAAGTGAAAAAAAAACAGTTAAAATTTTTATGCGTTACACGAGAATGTGCCTCTGGTTGAGAAATTTCTGTTTCTGATATTTATTCTCCTTTTTTAATGCGGTGAAGTTCTCCGTGCTTCACTCAAGAAGGTTGAAGGAATTTCGGAATCGTTTCTTGTGATTTTTAACGGCGTACTGCGAAGATTTCAAAATTTGCACGAAGTGAAGTAGGTTCAAAAAATATATTTAGGACAACGTTTGATCAAGAGATATAAATTCTGCGATAACCTCTTTCTGAAATGGTTTATAGTGTTTGTCCGTTTCACAGAATTCTCGCGGTGCACGAGGTACTGTTGTACTTTGAAAAGTGAAAAACAGCTAAAATTTAATCTTTGTCATGAGAGTATGCCTTCGGGGGTCATAGCATAATCAGTTTGTATATTTTATTTTTAATGCGGTAAATGGCCTCGGGCTGTGCTCAAGGTTGGAAAGAGAAACATTTTGACAAGTTCCGATGGAAGATAATTTTTATTCTGCACTTTTATTCTTCCAAGGGGAGGTTTTTTTGTTGTTCTTAAATCGGACAGGGTATGTAAGTGGAAAAAAATTGAATAAAGAATCGCCTGTGTGATGAAGTTCTTCAAGAAACGTTCTAGGTCATGACATTTTTCCTTCCAGCAAATTTTTTAATGTCTGAGAAGAATTTATATTCGGCGATTAATTTTTTAATCCAAGGTTAGTTTTGCAACACAACCAGACAACTCACATTTATTTTAAATAGTACTACGAGCGTGACTCATTTTCGTTATATTTCTCGGACAAATTGATTCAACTATTAAAGACTGCTGATTATGATCAAGATGTTGTAGAATTTTCTGAAGACAATGCTCATGCAACTTTTGCCAAGTAAACGAGATTTATTTCACGTTTGAAGAAGAAATTTTGACATGAGGTAAATTAAAGAATATATGACCTGTTGTTTTGAAAGATATCATTTCGTCATCAAGCGGTACTTTAAATATTTGAAATTTATACCTGATACTGTACTTACAAGCTATTCAAGAGTGATCACATTTTTATCTCTTTTTAAGATTAATAACTTGATAATTTAGCATATTTACAGAAAAAACTAGTATTTTACAGTAGTACTGTATATGATTTATCTCTGCTGATCATATTCAATATCTTCCCTTCGAGAGCATTATTCGAATTAATGGTGTTCGCTTACCAGAACAATCTTGGCATCTTGAAATGTCTTTTACAATATTTTCAAGATAAAAATGGGAATTTTGCCTACTCACCCGATCATGTAACCGATTATTTTGTCATCAGATTATGTCGTCCTGAAAAAGGTACTGTGTGGGAAGAAGTGACCTTTTGTAGAAGAAACGCGTTGGCAATCAATTTCTCCTGAAGTAATTAAATCTTCGGAAAATTTTTTAAAATACAAAATGAAGCTCAGGTCACTGAGTTCAAGTTTGGTTACTTGCTAACTAACTAACTTCGGTCTTTGGTCTTTACGCGCAACCGACTTTTCATGCACAAGTCACGTCATGTCATGAATAAAACTACCGAACTATAGTACCTTTGGTACAGACTTTACAATTGTTCGTCTTTGTAAGGAAGAAGATGATATTTTTGTAAGAGATTGGTGCGCACATCTCGTTTTATGGACAGTTTTTCAAATCTTATTTTCCCGTTCGTGTCATTTTACGTGCATGCTAAATTTCTCAAGGGCATCAATGCTGCAAAGATCAATAAATATCCGAGAGAAAGAAATGGGAATCTCAAGTGAATCTTACCTGCTAAAAAAAAAGAGCGCATCTGAGCAAAATTTTCAATTCAAGTTGTAAAAAAAGTATATCATGCTTTAAAAAAATATATACAGTACAGTGATACTGCACGTCACATGGTAAGCAGCCAGCAGAAAATTTTGCATAACAAATGCTGATGCAAATACCTGCGTACCTCAAAGAAAAAAAAACGTTTTTCGTATAACAAACCATGCATAACTGCCAATAAGACATTGGACTTCTTGGTGTATTTGTTTCACTATAGAGATTGTGTTTTTTTGTGCAATGAATACCTCATATAAACAAGGCACCAGTGGAACAGATTGTGTTTGTTATGTGGGGTACCTCGGTAGGTTTGAAAAATCTCTAATTCAAGCAAATACATTATACAGTACTGTATATTTGCTTGAAATATACAGCGCTGGTGCAATTGCTCTAATTCTGGCTAATGCTGCAATTCTTGTTAACTGATATTTTGTTTTCAATGTCAGGGAAAGAATGTGTGCAGTTGTACATTGTGGAATGTACTTTCTTTTATTTTGATATCCATATGCTGTACAGCTGTTTTGCTATTTCCCATTCTGATGTGGAAATCTTGATAGAACCTTGTGAATGCTGAAAAGCGGCAAATATAGTGTTCTGTTCATTCTTTCATTCCATTC